TCCACTTGGCGAAACTTCACACAATGAAGGCCTACCTCACAACACCCATGTAAACTTTGCTAAGCTCACCGCCTTGGTAAGAAAATCTGCAGCATTAACAAGTGTATCAACCTTCTCTAGCACCACCAATTTTCCTCCCACTTTGCCTGATGAAATGGTATTGTATGTCAATGTGTTTGATCGCGAATGAAAGGCAGGATTCTTGGCTAAGTAAATAGCCCTTTGATTGTCACACCCAATCTTCACAGCATCAAGCTGAAACCAAGCTTTAAACTCAATCTTCGAAGCCACATAGCTCCTTGCCAGCATGTGTCAATGCCATGTATTCTGCCTAGTCGATGACAAAGCACGGTACTTTGCCTTGTACTCATCTAACAACAGCAGCACCAAATAAAGAGAATACATACCCACTTGTGGAACGCTACTATCGAGATCACCTCCCCAATCAGCATCCAAAACCTATCACATCTAGCACATCCCCAGTCGCCATGCCTCCATAACATAATGATAAATCCGAGGTCCCACGAAGATATCTAGAAACCCTCTTTACAGCACTCCAATGCTCCTTACCAGGATTTGACATAAAGCGACTCAAAACTTCCACAGCTTGTGCAATATCAGGTCGCGTGCACACCATGGCTACATCAAACTACCTACAGCACTCGCATACGGAACATGTGTCATTTCTTCAGCATCTCTCAGACTTAGGACACTGATCAGGAGACAATTTCACTCCACAGTCATAGGAGTCTTCACAGGTTTGCAGTCCACCATGTTAAATTTCTCAACACCTCCTCGATGTACTTTCTCTGCCCTAACCACAATTTACAACTCTGACGATCTCTAGTAATTTGCATACCCAAAATAAAATTTGTGCCCAAGATCCTTCATGTCAAATTGTGCAGTCAACAAACCCTTTACAAATTTATCAACTCCTGCTATTCCCTATCAGCAACAATCATCTCATATAGGTTAAATAACAAAGACATTTTTAACATTTTTACGTACACACAGTGATCCACGTTGCTGCGGCTAAAACCATGTTGAAGAACATAGGAGTCAAACTTTTGGTACCACATCCTTGGTGATTGTTTAAGCCCATACAGAGACTTCCTAACCTACACACCAAGTTTACTTCCTTTACATACAAACCCTCAGGTGCTCATGTAAATTTTCTCCTTTAAATCTCCATGTAAGAATGTCGTCTTACATCAAGTTGCTCAATTTCAAGTATACGTAGCAGCAATAGATAGAACATACCTGATTGATGTTAACTGGCCACATGAGAGAAAATCTCACCATAATCAACACCTCAATCTACGAGAATCCCTTGCAACGAGTCTTCGAACTTATTACTGGCAATTGTCCCATCTGCCTGCAACTTTCTTTTGAACACCCACTTGCAACCAATTGCCTTTCTATCCTTAGGCAATTTACATAGGATCCATGTATTATTCTTGTCCAGTGACTGCATCTCATCATTCATCGCAACCTCCCACAGATTTGCATCTTCCATGGCTCTTGCTTCATTTACATTCCTAGGTTCATCACCAATCACATTCAAAGCATGTAATCCACTCAATGCACTTAGAGAGAAACGAACTGGTGCCTTTCTAACTCTTGTAGATCTCCTCAAAGTTGATGGCACCACAACTTTATCATCAGAATCATCCTCAAAATCATCCACAAAACCCTCATCAGTCACACTATCAAGTTTATCTTCATGGTCAGATTCTGTAAACTCTAAATTTTCAGTCTCTGCAACAACATTAGGAGTCATCTCCTCATCTTGCTCTACTGTAGTCACATCAAACTGAATTTTCTTTGACTGCTCAAGATCTTCAGGAGTTCCCACACGTTGTTTTACCTCTCTAAAGATTACATCTTTGCTGTAGATAATGCTTCTACTCACAGGATTCCACAACTTGTATCCCTTGATGCCATCCTTGAACCCCACAAACTTGCACTTCTTAGATTTACTATCAAGCTTGCTTCTCTTCTCCTTTGGCACATGCACATATGCATCAGTACCAAAAACTCGAATAAAAGACAGATTAGGTTTCTTACCATACAAAGCTTCATATGGCGTCATGTCTTTAACAGGAGAAGTGGGAGACCGATTCTTCAAATAACAAGCCATTGCTGTAGCTTCAGCCCAAAATTCAGACCCCAAATCTGTTGTATTCAGCATGCATCTAGCCTTCTCTAACAGTGATCGATTGAGATGTTTAGCCACTCCATTTTGCTGAGGCGTGTAAGGTGTAGTTTTTTGCCTTACAATTCCATGTGCCGCATAAAATTGCTCAAACTTACTAGAGCAAAACTCATCGCTATTATCAGTTCACAAAGCTTTAATCTTCCTGTCAAACTGATTCTCAACTAAGGCTTTAAATTCCCGAAATTTCTCAAAAGCCTCAGACTTGCTGCGCATGAAATAAACCCAATAGTATCTAGAAAAATCATCAATGAAAGATACATAATACCTGGATTTACCAACAGATTCCACTGGAGTGGGCCCAAAAACGTCATTGTGAATTAACTCCAGTATTTTTGTTGCTCTCGTGACTGTCGATTGAAAACCAACCCGATTCTGCTTGCCTTGTAAACATTCCTCACAAAACCCAAAACTCATAGAACAGTTAAGAATACTTTCAGCCATATTCTGAGTCACCAGAGTAGACAAAGCCGTCTCTCCAATGTGCCCCATTCGCTGATGCCATAATGTTGCAGACTCAATTTCTTTTTTCGCCTCCTTTTTCGAAACAGAACCACCCAAAGAGGAATTTCTTACAACTGATGCTTGCAGCCTGTATAGTGTACCATGTCGAACTCCTCGTGCAATAACCATAGATCCCCGAGTCATCTTACAGGATGTTCTGTCACAATTGAAAACTATACCTGCGTCAGCCATTGTTCCAACATAGAGCAGATTTCTACTCATACTAGGGATGTGCATCACTTCAGGGAGCGTCCTCACTAAACCATCATGCAACCTCAGCCTAATTTTCCCGCGGCCAATAATCTCCACAGCAATATTATCTCCTAACAGAACGTTTCCTCAATTGTATGTCTCATACTCACAAAACCATTCCTTGTGAGGTGTCATATGGAACGACGCACCAGTATCAACATACCAGACTGATTGGTCTGATCCAGCCATATATGCAGCAGCCACATACATATCACCATTTGTTTCCTGTTTGTACGAAGTTTCAGCTTCCTTCTCCTTCACTGGTTTGTTTCTGCAGTCTTTCTTAAAATGCCCAAATTCCTAACATCTCCAGCATTTAATCTTACTTTTATCCTTGCTTTTAGTTCTACCTCGCGACTTTCCCCTGTCGCCAGACTTATTAGAATTCCTATCAAGGTTTCGTCCTCTAACAGTTAAAGCATCCCTAGACGAACCTTCTGAACCTCTTCGCTGCATATCCTCTGCCAACAATGTAGAACATACAGATTCCCACGATATCTGTGTTAATCCTCCACCACCAATCGCAACAATCAGGTTGTCCCACGTATCAGGCAGCGAGCATAACAATGTTACCACTTTCTCAGATTCAGTGAGTTGTACATCCACAGCCAGCAGTTGATTCACTACAGTATTAAACTCATCCAGATGTGCAGCAAGAGAATCCCCATCATGCATACGGAGATTGTAGAGTTTCTTGCGACGGAATAGCACGTTCACCAAAGACTTACTCAGATACATATTTTCCAGCTTCTGCTATAAACCCTTAGCCGTATCCTGATCCATCACATTCGTTAGAACAGAGTCCTCAAGACAGATGCGAATCAAACCTCTGGCTTTTCGATCCATCTTGTCCCATTCAGCAAGTGCGGCACGATCAGTCGTTGATAATTCTCCTTCAGCAGGTTTAGACCCAAGCATACTTGACAATCCAATTCCAGACGTTTCACTCGTCATAACAATGGCAGTCCCGACTGTCGGCCTATCATTCACAATTGTACCCCACAGGTCCCTATCAACGAGTAGATCCTCCATCCGCAGTTTCCAAAGCTCGAAGTGTTTGCCGTCAAACTTCTCAATCTTAAACTTTGATCCTGCCATCTCTAAATCACGATCTAATAGAACCTTGCTCTGATACCAATTGAACAAAATAGAGACAACAACAGGAACAAAATATAATAGTAAAACAAATCAAACAGTAAACAAAGAAAATAATACACGCGATTTACCCTGGTTCACCCAATATGGGCTACGTCCAGTTGAGTCAATATTATTGCTATATGTCTCACCTCTCTCGTTTACAATGAATGAATTGCTTTAACACACATAACATGAGAGAAGTATGTTTATATACTAGGTTTAAGAGATTAAACCTAGTTTTACAAGGATTCCTATTCCTAAGCCCAACCCAATAAAGAATTAGTAACTTAAAAGAAATCCTACAGAGGTTATACATGGAAAAGCCCAAAACCGCCTACGGGCTCGGGTACAGCTGATGGTACTCACCATGCTTCCCAATTGACTATAGCCCCTTGGTCTTGGGTTTGAGTGGACGAGGAGGCGAAAGAAATCCCTTAAGGAGAGGAGGGGGGGGGGGGGGGGGGGGGGGGGGGGGGGGGGGAGACGACAAGAGTAGAATGGTCACGAGAGTGGGTGCTTTGTGATCCCCAGCCATGCCCACGGTTAGATTGAGTCGTGACAATACAATAGAATTACCCGTACGGTCTTTACATGGTTTAACATCTATTAAAATTAGAAGTCTATCCTAACAGTTTAAACTAAAATATTTGGACTATTAGACCTTAACCTTGGGGGGTTTTGGTTCACGATTGATATAGTTTTATAATGCATATGACGATATCAATATACTATACTATATATTAATAAAATAAAAATATTAAAAAAAAAATAAAGCAATTATGATGAACTAATTGTTATATTCCCCTCTAAATTAAATCTTCAAATTTTAACTCAGATTCCTATCACATAAGATTAGCATCGTCATACCATAGAAATTAATGTGGTAGTGCTTCAATTATTGAACAAGATGGTATTGTCTAGGATCTCTTACTGTAATCTTCCAATGTCCATTAACAAAACTTGAATTTCTAGCTATCCCTCTCCACTTCTTAATCCTCGAATTCATGTGCTTTGTTAACCCACAGAATTTCTGCAACTTCTTCGGCATGGCATCATAAACTCTCCACCATTTCTTGTGAGCTGAATCACTCGCAAATATATGGTGATCCACCATATCCCAATTACAATCATATTCCTTGTAACATAACCATGGCTTCAATCCCAAATAATGAATCGCATAAAGATTTTCCGAGATTCGATGTTCATTGTTGTTGCCATCCTTATTATCAATAGTACGAAACACCTTGAGATGATTAATCTTCGAAGGCAATCTATGCGACCATGTGAAAATTTCATTGAGAAAACCTTGATCCCCTCCGTTATATGAAGCCACTTTGAAGCTCTTCACCATTAACTTCTCGAACATGCACAAAGATGGCTCGATCACCATAATCCCTGAGTTGAACAACGACCCGTCGTTTCCTGTAGCTGATAACAACGGGTAAAAGAAGAACTTATCAATGTTCCATAAGACACGAAGATCGCTGTCGATAAAAATTACTTTCTCATATTCAATGAGTTGCCATACGCGAAGCTTGCTGTAGTTTCATTCATTGTATGAGTCTTGTTGATGCGTGATTTTGACACCAACAAAATGTACATATGAAATGTTGAGCTGGCCCAAAAGACACACTTGAATGTAAAGGAAAATGATAGTAAATGCAATGGGGGCAGTTTTTAAAGTGGTTCGGATGCTAAGGTAGCAAGTCCTACGTCCACTGATGTTTGTATTATTAATAAGGGTCAGGTCGCCTCAGCTGACTGACTTTACAATGCTAATACAAGGTATCTAATGCTATCTATTCTGGAGAGAGAGAGTGGTTGGTCAAGAGTAAAAATGTGCGAATCCCCTTAATGAGAGAGGAGCTCTCAACTTATAGTGAGATGCATTGAGGTAATGATCACAGAATCTGTAACTTGGTGGGATGATCCGTGCAAATCCTTCTTTATGTCACATTACCCATCTTTAAGAGTAATTCACGTGATTTGCTGCAGGAATTGGACACATGTACATCCTTTAACCTTTCTTCAGTCTGGCGCGTAGCCACTGTACTGACAGGAGTGTGCTGCTTGCATCATCACACGACGCGACTGCGCTAGAATATGAGTAAACTCTTCCTGAGGTCTGACCTTTCGCACTTAACTGGGCGTCACATCAGCCCTATTTTCCCAAGCATAACAGAAGTCCCCTAGTTTTTAAGGTTTGAGAATCAAACCTTGGAAACTACAAGTCATGCCACAATTGGATGATTCTTGGAAATTCTGGAAATTCTAGTGATTCCGACCTGTTTTGAAAGTAGGTCAGGATGACACTTTTTTGCGAACACGACCTCGCATGATTATTGTTTGCAGAGGACGAGCGACCTGATTTCGTCAGACGTCACCTATTGTTCTTTTGATATGGGTGCATCTAATGAAGCAGTCCCTGCACTGACAGATGTGCCCTGTGCGTGATAAGCACCAGCCGGACGCATTATATGCATTGTATGCTGACACAATACGTTTTATCAGAACTTTAAATGCGTTATACGTTGGAACGACGCCCCTTATCAGAGCATTAAATGTAGATTTGAGATGCAATTAATGCTCTAAGAAAGAGAGATGGCCATCGTTTGAGCTTTTCAACGGGAAAGATGAAGGTTTGACTTTATCCAGTCGTGACGCTCACTCTTCCCCGCTGATGTGCAACAAGTGGCCGTGATCAACTGTAAGAAATCTTTACCGCCCAAACGCCGTTTTGATTCCGAGAAATCCAAACACCGATTCCTATGCTATAAAAACCTCAAATCTTTCTCAGGTATTATCACCAGAGTCTTTTTCACAGAGAATAAAATATTTTTGCAAACCTGGAACCTTTGTTTTCCAAACCTGCTTTTTTTCGGCATTCGAAGTAGAAGCTGTTCTCATACTCCGAGAGGTAAAAACCTTTCTCTATTTTTGTTTCATTATTTTCCATGATTAAATGGTGTCAATCTTCCGGTAACCAATCGGAGACAGAACGCTTATGTCTAGTTCGAGCCATGAATGGCGGCTCGAATCATGCTGTTAGGGTTTTCTTTGGGATTTAGGGAGTTTGTTCCTCCCACGTCATCATGTAAAATAGCATACGGCGGCTAAATGACCCTTCTGCTTGTCGCTTTTGCAGATTGGCAAAATGGACCCCCTAATAACCAAATCCGAGCAGGAACCGGTTCATCTCCACAGGGTGCTTCAAGTATCCCTCTCGAGGTCTTCTCGATACTTATCGGGGATGAGCTCAAGAGGGTAATAAAACAGTAAGGTATCGAGGTGAACGTTTTCCTCGACGTGACACACTCATCGCGATACCCGTCAAGTGGCCTAGCCGCGATCTCCGAGGAGATCATCAAGGGTGAGGGACTGATCCCCTTCCACCCTTTCATCAGGTCGCTTTTGGACCACTTCTAGGTCGCGTCGATGCAGCTGACTCTGAACGTGTACGTTATTACCGTTGCAATGTACATCGCGTGCCACGAGAATGGGCTGGGCGAGCTAACCGTGACAGAGCTCTGTTGCTCGTATTTTTTGAAAAAGAGCAAGGGCAAGGACTCTTGTTACTTGTCCAGGCGACCTACTATCATCGAGGGGATACACAGTTACCCGAGCAACTCGGGTGCTTATGAAACGAAGTTTTTCTTCTTTCACTATGACGGCCATTGCCGCTTCCAGGAACCAAGTAGGCCTCTTTATTTTTTTTTTTTTTTTTTTTTTTTTTTTTTTTTTGACAAATTCATTACATTCGAAATGTGCTATTTCTAACGAGCTGATTCCTTTCTGACAGATAACAAGACGACCAACTTAGGGCTACTCTTTGATAGACGTAAGATCGTATATTTTGGCTCCCTACCTGAGAACAAGCACGACGCGAAGAAACTTGTGATGACCGTGAATTTGTGAAAATACGGTTTCTTCAACACAAGCGCATCGTTAGAGCCCCCATTGAGTAAGTCCTACTAACTGGTCCTTTTCTGGTCGTGAATTGGAATACCTTTGTTAACGATGCTTTGCATGCAACGACCATGCCTCTGAAAGAGTCAGAGCAGTCGCGATGATGGCAGCTTAATTTCCCTCAGTCAAGAAAAGCCAAGGCGACAGATGCTGCTCCAACCCCCTGGCTAAAAGCGCAACATCGGGCCCATCGGCGCGACCTTCTGGAACTCCTTAGCCACAACCGTCAGAGGATGCACCAATACGAACCACGAAGGTCTCCCAGCTGTCGCTTGCTCACCCAAGACTGAAGGCAACAGCGCAGCAAAAGAAGAGGAGGCAGATTCAGGTCAAAGAGTCAGAGACCGAATCTGAGGGCGATCAACCCAAGAGGTCACGATCGGACGTGAGGAGGTCGGATAAGGAACCGATGGATGACACGACCACTGCTGAAGGCATGAAGAAGGATATTCTAGTGTTAGACTCGCTGGGGAACTTGTCGGAGTACCTGCAGCCAGTGGTCTATGCCTTATTGGAATGCGGACCCTCAAAATCATTTGAGCAATTCGCAGATTCCAGCGACGTGGACCTAATGTCCACATCGGTCCAACACTTAAGTAAGGTGAACGAACTATCCTTGGCGAGGACTACCCTTAGCTTCTTTTGATTAGCTAACTCTATCTTTCTTTGTTCGCAGGCTCTTCTTTCCATACGAATGTCCCTGGAGAAGGTTCAATTGGGAGCCGCAAAGGGAGAGGCTGCTCTAAAGGAAGAGAACACAACACTCAAGCGAAGCTTGGAAGCTGTTGAAACAGAGAGAAACCTGTCTTCTGAGTCGGCGAACAGGTACCTGAACGAAAGAGACGCGGCTCTTCACACGGTGGACTTCCAAAAAGTGCAGCTTGAGAAGCATGGAGAAGAAATTAAGGAGCTACAAAGGACCATAACCAGACTCTCCAAGGAGGTTGGGGAAAAGGACCAGGAGCTTGAAGCGACCTCTCTGTAGGCCTTGCGAACATAACAAGAGAGGGATGCCTCCGAGAAGCGAAGACAAGCTCTCGAAGTTGAACTTTAGGCAAGTCAGGGAAAAGTTGCTTCCTTGACACGAGATGCAGAATCAGGCAGCGAAGATCGAGGAGAAGGTTGCCGAATGGGCGATCGAGTCCATGTATGCCTTACGACTGAAGAATCCATGACTTGATATGTTTGACCTCCCAGAGAACTGGCAGGATACACTTCTGTCCATGGCGCGGGAGGATGATGAAGCGGCGGCCTCCCGAGTAGGAGGTTCGGGACATGCCTCGGATAAACCCTCAGTCGACCAGCCCTAGGACAATGACGTCGGTCCTCTAGGAGCTGGATTAGGGCTTGTAGTCATGCCATTTTGCCTGCTGTACTCCTCATTAATGAAATACATTTTTACTTTTACAATTTCTATTCGCTTTATTATACATGAGTACTTCCTGATTGCTTACAAGTTTATGCGAACAGGATAGAACATTTATACGAACAATATTACATGTGAAAGTTGTTACAAGTGAACAAAATAGTCACTTTATAAGGAAATTATTTATACAAATCGTAAATTAATTTACAAGGAAAACTGAGTTCGGAATTACTAATAGTTTGGTCGAAGGTGCTCAGCATTCCAAGCTCAGATACTTTGGAACCGTTCAGCCTTTTGAGATGATAATTCCTCAGTCTTATCACTTTGTCAATACAGTATGGACCTTCTCAGTTCGGTCCTAACACTCTCGCACTTGGTTCCCTAGTACCGAGAAGAACTTCCTTTAACACAAGTTGCCAACCTGGAAGTCTCTTCGCCTGACCTTTGAATCGAAGAACCTATTCGCGCGTTGCTGATAGGATGCTATCCTTAGCGAAGCCTTACTGTGATGTTTATCAACAAGGTCTAGGCTTGCTCTCATAAGTGCTTCGTTGTCGGCCTCATTGTACAAGTCCCTTCGAAGTGAACCAGTTCCCACCTCTACAAGGATCATCGCTTCGCATCCGTATGCTAGCGAAAAAGGTGTTTCTAAGGTGGAGGTTCTTGGAGTTGTTCTGTACGCCCATGACACTTCAGGGAGGTCGTCGGCCCAATTCCCTTTGGCTACGCCAAGTTTGGCCTTTAGGGTGTGCTTGATGGTTTTGTTGATAGCTTCAACTTGGCCATTTGCTTGTGGCCTTGCGATTGAGGTGAATTTTTTATGGATGCCCAGCTCGTCGCAAAACTGCTTGAATTCCTCGTTGTTGAATTGTTTCCCATTATCCGAGATGAGGGTATGAGGAATTCCGTAGTGGCACACAATATTCTTGAAAACGAAGTCTTTGAGCTTTCTGTTCATGATCGCGACTAGCGGTTCGACTTCCACCCATTTGGTAAAGTAATCTACCGCGACCACGGTATATTTGACTCCCCTTTTACCGACTGGCATGGGACCGATGAGATCGATCCCCCACATGGAAAAAGGCCAGGGGCTAGTCACGGTTATCAGTTCGTGGGAGGGAGCTTGCGGTATATTCACGAACAGCTGACACTTATCACACCTCTTGACAAAGTTGTAGGCGTCATCTTGGATTCGGGGCCAACATTACCCTTGACGAACAATCTTGTTCGCAAGAGATCGTGCGGTGGTGTGATTACCATAGATCCCTTCATAAATTTCCCTCATGATGTAACCCGCTTCTTCACTGGTTACACATAGGAGGAGAGGGGCACTAAACCTTCACCTGTACAGTTGGTCTCCGATGAGGGTGTAACGAGCAGATCTTGTTCGTAAAACCCTTGCCTCGACCTTATCATCAGGCAATATCCCATCCTTGAGATACCGAGTAATAAGGGTCATCCATGAGTCTGAACCCGTTACATTTACGGCCTGTTCGATTGGGCTGATACTGGGGATTTCGATGAATCGAACAGGAATGTTCTCTGGTGCATCCAAGTCTAATAATGAGGCTATCCTTGCCAAGGCGTCCGCCACAGAATTGTTTTCTCTGGGAATCTGAGTGATCGTGAAGTGCTTGAACGACTCGAGTACGGCCTTAGCTTTCTTCAGATAATTGATCATGTTATCTTCCTTGGCTTGATACTCTCCTAAAATCTAGTTAATGACCAGCATGGAGTCACTGTGGATGCTGATCGTGGTTGCGCCCATTTCTCTAGCCAACCTGAGTCTAGTGAGCAAAGCTTCATACTCAGTCTCATTATTGGTTACTTTGAAACCGAACCAGAGAATGCCATGAATGCGGGCCTCTTTAGGACTTAACAAGAAAAGACCCACTCCGGCCCTCTTTCTGTTCGATGATCCATCAACGTAGAGGGTCCAAGTCGAGAGATTTTTAACTGTTTCCTGGATGACTTCGTTGGGCTGTTCTGACTCGTTCGCTGGATGATGCGAGAACTTTGATATGAAGTCGGCAACAGCCTGCCCTTTAATAGTTGCTCTTGGTTTGTAATGGAGATCGAATTGGCTGAGTTCCATGGCCCATTTGAGTAATTTACCTGACCACTTTGGTTTTTGGAGGACCTACCTGAGCGGGTAATTAGTCAATACGTGAATTGTATGGGCATGGAAGTAGGGTTGTAACTTTCAGGAAGTGATCAGCAGGGTATAGGCTAATCGCTCCATTTTCAGATACCGCATCTCGGCATCCAACAGATGCTTGCTCGTGTAATATACTAGCCATTGCGTTCCGTTCTCTTCTCGAACTAAAACTGCACTGACCGCGAACTGCGAGACAAACAGGTACAAAAGGAGGATCTCTTGTGGGAGAGGTTTGGACAGAAGTGGTGGCTTCTCGAGGTGTTCCTTTATTCTCTGAAAGGCCTGTTCGCACTCGAGAGCCCATTCGAACTTCTTATTGGCCCTGAGTACATTGAAGAATGGCAAGCAGCAATCTGTTAGCCTCGATATGAACTGACTTAGTGCCGCTATACGCCCGTTCAGGCTCATAACCTGTTTTTTGTTGGTCAGGCTCTTCATATCGAGGAGAGCTTGGATTTTTTCGGGGTTAATCTCAATTCCCCGCTGGTTAACCATGTACCCTAGGAACATTCTCAAGGATACTCTGAATGAACATTTGAGGGGGTTCAACTTCATTCGGTACTGTCGGAGGATGCCAAACATCTCAGCGAGATGTGCTACGTGATCTAAAGTGACATGCGACTTCATCAGCATGTCATCTATGTAGACCTCCATCGATCTGCCTATCTGTTTGGAGAACATCTGGTTCACCAGTCGTTGGTAAGTTGCACTAGCGTTCTTGAGGCCGAAGGGCATAACTTTGTAGCAGTATAGTCCCTGATCTATAATAAAAAATGTATGCTCTTCGTCTTGCCTGTACATCAGAATTTGATTATATCCCGAGTATGCATCCATAAAACTTAGCAGCTCGTGCCCTGAGGTGGCATCCACGAGCTGGTCAATTCTTGGTAGGGGGAAGCTATCTTTAGAACATGCCTTGTTGAGGTCGGTGAAGTCGACGCAGGTCTGCCATTTGTCATTAGGCTTCTTTACTAGAACTGGGCTGGCAACCCAGGTTGAATAGAGTGCTTCTCGGATAGATCCATTTCGGAGGAGATTATCCACCTAAAGCTTCAAGGCAGCATATCGCTCCGGGTCCATCGCTTTCCTCTTTTGGCGAACTGGCTTGGCTTTACTGTCGATGTTTAGTGCATGGCAAATAACATTCGGGCTGATCCCGACCATATCTGCGTGCGACCATGCGAATACATCGATGTGTTCCCTGAGGAAGCTGGTCAGTTCAGTAGCGAGTTAGGGATTGAGATTTTTACCGATCCTTAACACCCTACTTGGTTCATTCTGGTCGACTAGTACTTCAGTCAGGTCCACAACTAGCCCACTGGAAGGTCAGTCCTGAATACGAGGATCTATATTATCTTTTGCTAGGCCAGGCTGTGGCTCAATCCGGCTAATCGCTATTGCCTGGTTGTGATTGCCGCGTGAGGTATCTTTGCCTTTGCACGCCATCTGCACTGCTTTCACATAGCAGTCGCAAGATGCACGCTGAGATTCGCTAACTTCCTCAATCCCTATCGGGGTGGGAAACTTCATCTTCAAATGGTATATTGAAGTGACTGCCTTGAAGTGTCTCAGCAGAGGTCGTCCCAGGATATCATTGAAGGCGGATGGGCAATCCACTACCAAGAACTCAATTACCCTAGTCACCTTGTCGGAGTCACCCAGCGTGACTGAGAGTGAGATCATTCCCTTGGGGAGTAGGTGGTCCCCTGTGAAGCCATATAAAGGGAACGAGGCAGGCTTCAGGTCGGCCTCGTCCAAATTCATTCTTTCAAAAGTTGAAGCAAACAGGATGTTCACAGCACTTCCGTTATCCACTAACATTCTCTAGATATTATGGTGCCCTATGAGGGGCGTGATCATAAGGGCATCATCGTGAGGATGATGCAATCGGGCTGCATCTTTTTCGGAGAAGAAAATTTCCTCCTCCGGGTGAACCTTTTGTGGTCGCTGTGCCACACTCATCGCTCTGATGGGCTCATGATATGCCTCACGAGCATACGTTTCTTTGGCACCTCGCAAGTTCCCCGCGAAGTGCGGTCCCCTGAAAATTAAATTGAGGGTGCACACTTCTTTCTGATCGCAGTGCTTCTTACTTAGCTCCCCCTGATTTTTCTCTTGTGAGGGAGCAGAGTCATCAATATACTCCTTGAAATGTCCCTACTTGATGAGGTTTTCGATCGCCTGCTTGAGAGCTCGGCACTTATCGGTATGGTGTCCGTTATCCCGATGGAAGCGACAATATTTTTTATTATTTCTGGCTGTCACGGGAGTTTTCATGGGCTTGGGTTCTCCGAGCGGGCTGGCCTTCTCGGATTTATCAAGAATAGCCAATACAGATGCGTTCAATGGTGTATATTGGTTTCTGTTGCGATCGTGACGAGGGACGAGAGCAAATGACTTTTTGGGCTCGTAACGAGGTTTCTTCCCTCTTCGCTGATCGTCAGCGTCCCCCCTGCGATCAGCTCTTCTACTATCCCTCTGACTAGATGCACTGCTTGAAGCACCGGGGTCGCGATGGAGGAGTGCCACTAATGAATTTTCTATCCGAAGGTATTTCTACGCAAGGTTATAGAATCTAGTGAGGGAAACATCATCCTCAGCCTGTAACTCTTTTTACAGGTCAGTTTGTGGATGAACTCCGACTATGATGAGAGTCCGAACAGACTCTTCGGGAGTATGAGCCACCTTGTTGAGTTCTCTGTAGAAGCAGTCAATGTAGGACTAGAGGGATTCATCCCTTTCTTGCCTTATACTGCTGAGGTAGCTCAAAGGCATCGAGAACTTTTGATTTTCTTGAAAATGCCTTAGGAACGTTGCCCTCATCTGAGGCCACGAATTGATCGATCCCGCTGGGAGTGACCTGAACCACCGTTTGGCATGAGAGGTCAAAGTCACTACCAAACAATGACATTTTGCTAGATCTGAGACCTGGTGAAGCTCCATCAGGTCGTTAAATTCATATAAATGATCATGCGGATTGGAGTTTTCATCAAACGCCCGCATGTCGGGCATCCTGAATCCTGGTAGGAGTGGAGCGGCTAACACTTCGGGAGAGAAGGGGGACGCAGATGCGACCTGCCCTTGTTCGTTTTACTGAGCTCTTAGTCTGTCTAGAGCTCGCTATAGCTCCTCAATTTGCGGCAATGGAGCTGCGTGGGGATTGCTTTCATCCATCCGAATTCGACTCTCGCGGTTACGATTGAGGAAAGTCCAGAGGTCGAGTTCCTCTTCGCCTCGGTCGGCAGTTCCGACCACTCTTGACACACGTTGGCTAGAGGCGTGTGATGGCAACGAAAGGTGCGGGGTATTTTCACGACCTTCGCGGTGGTAAGAATCACCCCGCGAAGTGTAGGACCCTCTCGCACGGTGACGATCAAGATTGCTCTACTGGCGGTGATAAGAATCGCCCCGTCCAGCACTTTTATAGGTGTGCACTTGCGATGTAGCATGGGACAGCTCGGGTTGTGTCCTTTCACCGAGTCTCAACGAGACTAGTATTCTGCTTGGGACGCGATCAGTGTTTGCTGGCCCTTTAGAGCCCGTGGGCTTGTTTTTTGCCACTTGCTTACCCTTTCGTCTACGTGCTACAGTGCTCGCGGCATAGGCTATTTCCCTTTGCCGTACTTTCGCACGACTTGCAGGTGTTTCTGGCAGTTGCACCGCCGTAGCTGACTTGGATGGCACGCCTTGGTCCAAACGGTCTAACCTTCGGTTGACCATCTGGAGAGTATTGTCAAACCTCTCCAGGTAGCTTCTTATAATGGGGTCAGGCTGTGAACTTGATGGGATATCTCCTGCAGTATTTTGCGGGGCTGAAGGTTTTTTGGAAGAAGTGTCCCCCTGGACTTGGGGGAGCCCTTCAGCGCCCTGGTTGGTTTGCTCAGGTTTTGGTTGGCGGGCCATTTGTTATTGTAGGACCGGTAAGCTGGAGATTCTCCTGATGAAGGATGAACACTAAATCAGGCCCTCCTTCTAGTGCCAAACTGTTGATGCGTGATTTTGACACCAACGAAATGTATGTGTGAAATGTTGAGCTGGCCCAAAAGACACACGTGAATGTGGAGGAAAATGATAGTAAATGCAATGGGGGCAGTTTTTAAAGTGGTTCGAATGCTAAGGTAGTAAGTCCTACGTCCACTGATGTTTGTATTATTAATAAGGGTCAGGTCGCCTCAGCTGACTGACTTTACAATGGTAATACAAGGTATCTAATGCTGTCTATTCTGGAGAGAGAGAGTGGCTGGTCAAGAGTAAAAATGTGCGAGTCCCCTTAATGAGAGAGGAGCTCTCAACTTATAGTGGGATGCATTGAGGTAATGATCACTGAATCTGTAAGTGGGTGGGATGATCCGTGCAAATCCTTCTTTATGTCACATTACCCATCTTCAAGAGTAATTCACGTGATTTGCTACAAGAATTGGACACATGTACATCCTCTAACCTTTCTTCAGTCTGGCATGTACCCACTGTACTGACAGGAGTGTGCTGCTTGCATCATCGCATGACGCGGCTGCACCAGAATGTCAGTAAACTCTTCCCGAGGTCTGACCTTTCGCACTTAACTGGGCGCCACGTTAGCCCTATTAGTGTTGCTTTGGATTGTGCTTTGCGCCAAAGCGATTGCTCCACAAACATAACCTTCTGAGGAATGAAGAACTGTTACATAGGCTTCTCTTTCATAGTGTGCGGCATAATTCAATTTTTTTTGCATGAAATATCTCCATTCCTCTCTTCCTGTAACTCGAAGAAACAACAGTAAAATCAAACTGAAAAAAACGTATGGAAAAGCATCACCTCCCAACGTAAACATGACGGGATTAGAGTGTTCATGGCTTTAAATAATTTTTATTGACCAGTAGTTAAAGCAGAATCAAACAGACCATTAGATAATTTCAGAGTAAAATTAAGATATAAGCAATTTTGCTGTGAAAGTGAAGTGATGACTTAGCCTCTAAGTATGACATTCTTCTTCAGTTTAGAGTTATCTGGCGCTTACCAGACTAATTTTGCTTCGTTTGTTTTGTAGACCCTCCGTGCTCCTTGGGGCGTCTGTGCCCCCCTCTTTTGTATAGCGGTTGTGCCCTTCTTTTCGTCTTGCATTTCCGTTTTGGTCGGTTTTGACCTTCTTTTGGAGCATGCCTCTCGTGTAATGAATATATACATTTTTACTATTTCCACCAAAAAAAAAAAAAAAAAAAACTATGCAGTTCTCTAGTGATAGATGTCATAGTCTTTAATCAGACAAATAATGAATATAAGATCTCTAATATGGAGGTTACGTCCCGAATCAATTCTGACTTAATTATATATGATGCCAACCAACTTAAGTTATATATTAATAAATTGCTTGACAAATTTGGAGATAAGATGCTGATTCATGAATGATATATACAGATATTTTGCATTAATTCACCAGGCTTATTATACATATATATAATCCATTTTAAGAATCAAAATTGAAAGCATAAATTGGAGAAATTGCGTTACATTTATTAAAGCTTAATGGAAAACAAAACTTACTAAAATTCGGAACTAATTAATGCAAAAATTAAGAATAACTTAATTTTTATTAAACAAGGTTTTAATTAAAACTTAAAAGACGCTTAATTAATCATATGTACTGGTAAGTTACTACTTATTAATTTAAATTAAAGAGTAAATGACTTTTTTCCATGTAAGGTTCCTTAACGACACTTTCTCACTCAAAAAGTTTCAAAATATCACTTTCCCACTCAACGCTTATATTCTGCTAATACTCAAAATATATTTCACTTTCTCAATCGGCGTTCGAGAAGTTACCAGAAGCTGAGATAAAAAGAATTTTGTGAAGTGGAGACTGATGGATAAAATGGTGGTAACTGATTGAATATTTGTCCTCGGAAATCAACTAAGAATAGGAAACCTTAATCTTGTAGTGGCCGACAATCTGTCAAAAATTAGGTGTTAGAGTGAGAAGGTTTTTGTCGAGAGGAGATTGGAGGTTCAAATGGTTGTTACAGAGAGAATTTTCGTTGCCGGAATCAGTTTTGGTTAGTACCTAAATATTAACTTTGGATGGAAAAGTGGTATTTTGAAAATTTTTTGATGAGAAAGTGTCATTAAGGCAAACCTTGGGTGGGAAAATCCTTTACTCTAAATTAAATTAGGACAAGTACTCGATCTTACAATTCAAACCCTAGGACAATTGTATCTATATATGGCAACAAAATTTTTTCTTCCATGTTAGGTAACCAAACTAAACCTTTCAGGTAGAAATCTAATAACTAGATAATTATAGTAGGTAATTAAAACACTAATTAAACATATTAAAATTCAGTAAAAAAATTGAACTAAAACTCACCGGTTTCTGCATATCCAGGAGAGATTTGGCATGACCCAACAGGCATAATAACTTTTTGTTTAATCTTCTCAATTCCGGCTTGTAAACCCAGTAATCCCCTACATGCATCACCATATCATCACATCTAAATATCTCAATCATAGGTCCACAAGACCCCACAAACACAACGTACACCGTCCGATCAGAATCCGGGTTCACCCTCCCACTCTCCACCGCAAGATTTGCCACCACGAGACTAACCTGTAACCTAAACACATCCCTAATCCCCTCCTTCTCGTTTCCTCCGCCGCATGGAACTCTCGCCACTATCACGTCAAGGTCCCTGTACTCTTCCAGCCTTGGCATCGGAATTTCCGGGCACGACGGCGCGTGCCACTTGTGATCTTCATCAATCCATTCCGGGAAAAAGTCACCCCATCTTTTATCATCGGGAACACGATCGAAATGTATATGAACGGTTTCAGCGGACGTTCCATGGACGTCATGTATATAATTATTTACATTGACTAAACCAACTTTTATTTTTTGACCGGCGACGTGTTCCTGAATGAGTTCGAGCCATTTGGGCTTGTTTGTGAGGGGGAGAGGCTTGGTTTGGAGTGAGGGAGAGTCAGGGAAATGGGGTGGTTGGGGCTTGAAGGAGAAGACGATGAGGAGGAGGGAGAAGGAGATGAGGAAGAGGGAGATGATGAAGAGCTTTTGGTTGAAATTCGCGGGTTTAGAGAAGGAAGATGAAGCCATATCTTTGAATGGAATTAAGTTGTTTTTCACGTCTTTGAAGGATTCTTGCTGAAGGAACGTTTGTTTAAAGTTTATAGGGTGATGAATATGAAATGGAAGGATGCTGCGTGCATGGCTGCACGTTGATGCTGGTAATTTGTCCTCTTTGGAAGAAGGGATGTAATGGTTATTCTCACGCGCGGTTGTTGGCCTTGGCTATGGATTTCAGATTTTAGCACTACTTGTCAAGTAATTAAAAAAAGAAATTTATTGATAATTTCATTACCATATTAAATTTACCATGAATGGCTTCCTTTTCCTTTGACAAAACGTGTAAGGATAGCAATTCAGTAATGGTTATAGGTACAATGTTACATCTTATATATATATATAAGAATGAGCAAATTAAGTGAAATAAAATCTTTAATGAATACCTTTTGTAGTATTAATATATTATTTCATGTTTCAACTCTTCATTTACACATCAAATTTACGTAATAAAATGACATATCAGTTAAATAGGATAGTCAGTATCTCGATGAACGATCCTTGAATGTGCTATTACGACGTAAAGTTTGCATCATAACATCTGACTTCAATGATACAAGTACGTTAGGAGAGAGTTTTCACGGTAAGCACAAGTCATCTATGTTATTATATGTTGAGTATTCCGACTCCGACAATAATTGCTTGTGTGGAAATATATATCATCGATAAAAATTGATGTTCTTGTAGAATTCAGGCTCCCTTCAATTTTAAGATACATGACCATTTATATCTCTTAAATATTATTTAATCAAATTTTTGGTTCATAGGAAAAGGTTCTCCTGAAAATAAATTTTTTGTTGAATAATATATTTTATATTTATTATTCTTCTTCATTTGGTTCCACTTTAAAATATAAAATTCTTTAATAATATCTAAAATTTTCTGTTTTTTTTTAATAAATCGAATATTTGTAGGTAAATAACTACAAAAATTGAAAATAGTGGATGAAATTTTAGTTTGTGCGACGCACATGACCAGCGCGTGGGGATAGACATTAGAGAATTTAGAGTTACATAAACTTCAGTTTATAGAACTGACGGTTCATGAAAGATACGAGCAGCCGAACCCACCGGCTGCCACATCAGATTACGGCTTTGTATTGGATAACTTTTTTGACTTTCAATAATTAATAATATGATGCCACGTCAGAATATTTTAATTCATAAATAGAATGTTTCTAAGCCTTACTTAAAACAGAATATATTTCCTATTTTAATATTTTCCTTCATGAAGTGGGCCATTAATTTTAAAAATTTTAAAATAATAGAAAAATAATAGACCCTCCCTAAGTTGACTTATTTAACCACATTATCCCAAGAAAAAGATTTTGGTTGTTAATTTGCAATTTAATATCACTTTCATGAACAAGTTTTGACAAGGACATGCCTACAACAATAGAAGATTAGGGTTATATTTAATATAAAATATAAAATTAATTAATTAATTATATACATATCCGTATATATGCATAATGAAATTTTATATTTTGTTGATGTTGTAATTCGCACCAATGAAAATCACGTAGAATCTGTGATGAAATCTACGTAGGAGTTTGTGTAAAACCTGTGATTTCGATGTTGGATCGATGGATGAAATAATAAATTAGACAATAGCATAAGGAAAATATTATTAAAGTGGTTTGGATGCTTAATGTAAATCCTACGTTCACTATTCTTATATATATATATATATATTATATATGATATATATATATATATATATATATATATATATATATATATATATATATATATATATATTGTGTGTTTTTTGTTGCACTTCAGTACAGCTTACAAAGTATGAATGAATTCAAATCCCCAATTTGAGTAAAAAGTATACTTATATAATGTTACAGTGGTAAACTTATAAATAAATTAACCTAAAAAGAATGACATGTGATGTAAATTCAGCTTCAAGGATTTACCGACAACATATCTAAAGTACAAAAACGACTCAAAAGATAAGTAAACGAAACAATCATCTTTAGTCTTTCCTGGAATTGAAATCTCATTTAATTTCCCATGTAGTACATCCATGCGAAAAAAAAAAAAAAAAAAAAAATTGGTAGAATATTTCCTTAAATTAAGAGTCCTATATGTTAGATAATTAATTTTTGTATAGAAATATTGAACTTATAAGGAAAAAGATGTTTAAAATTTCTGTACAAGATTTTTCCACTTCAATAATACTCAAAATAATAAAGTCAAGTTCATATTATATATATATCTTCAAGGTTGCCTTAAATTAAGAGTTCCATTAAACAATTTCCTTATAATATATATCTAATTCAAACTTATATAAACGTAGTAATATAGTCATCAATATTTAGAAAAATACTAAACATTTTTGCTTGCTTTCCAACCATAAAGATTTCTTTAATTAATTATTGCAAATAATTAACTCAAGAAGATTAATCAGGTCATTAACAGATTAAGTCTATGATTTGCTCTTAAAAGGTCTAAGGTTCAAACTCTCTCACAATAAATATTATTAAAGGCTATATCGATTTATAGTTTGGATGCATACACGATGCAATATCCTACATCGAGAATATTTGTCTTCGACAATGCTGGCCTAGTGAGTTTCCAACGCTTTGTTTTGCGTTAGAAACCTAATCCTAAACATAGATTTCAATTTTCTGATGCAATTAAGGATTGTAATTTCAAATTCAAGCTTACAACTAAGAGGGATTTCTTGTATTATTTTAAAAAAAAAAAAAAATTGATGAAATGAGTTATTCATATACATGACAATGATTAATTAAAAAAAAAATATAAACTAGAAGTTGTACATATATAGACAATTGTTAAATTAAATTAAAGTCAAAACGAATTCAAGGGATGTCACCAAAATTTTTTATGAATAAAGTTGGCTGAATTCGTATATATATATATGCATTTAAGAATTTAGAGTATTCGCTCATTTCATCCTTTGTAATAACCTTATAATATAGTATAATATGGAAGGTCACGATCTTCGTTTTATAACATGACTACATACATATAATGATATAAATATAATTTTTTAATGTATTTCAATGTGATTTAAAAATTGTAAAACTGATGTTAAAAATTTACTATTTTTAGATTTTAATTTCACTCTTAAGTCAATTAGTTCAGTATGTTGCGTCTGAATTTCAGGTTGCTGATATTTTAACCAAAGCCCTTCCAAGTAATAGATTTACTTTCTTAAGGGAGAAATTGAATGTTACTGATGAACTGCCTGAATAAGAATGTTTGAGTTGGTTGCTGTGTGTTTATTCAATTGTAAGTCTGATACTGAACAGACGCTGGTTGATTTTGCTGTTGAATTTTGCTGGAGTAATGCTGGTTGATGATGGTTGATGCTTGCTGGCGTAATGCTAGTTGTTGTTTTGCTGGTTAATGTTAGGATGAGAAAATGCTGAAGAAGTTGATGCTAGGATGAGAAAATGCTGAAGCTTGAAGGAGTTCAGCATAAGCAGGAAGAAACTTCAGAATGCAGACACGTTTTGGTTTCAGGGGTGATATTAGATATATGAAAGTCTCAAAGTTGTAGATATGTTGTGTTTTAGTGAGAGTATTAGATATGTATAAGACATTGGGGGTCTGAATGTAAAGGTCCAAAGTTTAAATGAAACGGTGCGTTTTTTTGTATAATTGAATACTATAAAAACTGCAGATCTGTAACAGTATTTTAGTTAAGTAGAAAAATCCAGATCTGGTTTTTCTTTCTTCTGCATCTTTTCGTTCCTCTGTTTTACTTTTTCTTTAGTGTTCTTTGCTAAGTTTCAGCACTTGTATCTTGAAATCTCTCATGGTATCAGAGCCAAAGACAAACGTAAATGGCAAATTCAAGTTCTGAATTCATAAATTTGAAGGCTGGAATCGAGCAGACTGGGCATGAAAATGCAGGAAGTTCAGCTCAGCAATCCTCTCTACCGAATCTCTCTATCAAATTAGGGGAAAAGAATTACAACTATTGGCGCTCACAAATTCTTCCTGCCCTGGCCTCTTACGAGCTTGATGGATATGTTATAGGTGAACATCCTTGTCCTCCTATGTTTCAAATTGAGAAAAGTTCAGATTGTGAAATAGGAATCAAGAAACCAAACCCTAGGTATTTTAGCTGGAAAAGAACAGATCAGTCTTTAATAAGTTGGTTAATCTCATCCATATCAGAACCTATGTTTAGACATGTAACCAAGTATACCACTGCCTACGAAATTTGGAATACTCTAGAACTATATTTTCAATCTTTTTCAAAGGCTAGAACACTGCACTTACATAATCTATTACAGAGTACTAAGAAAGAGTCTCTAAGTGTGAATGAGTATATTCTAAAGATGAAAGAGTATGGTTTAATTTCTAGTGGAGTTCAGATTGGAGAGGAAGAACTACTCCTGTATATTCTGGATGGGTTAGGACCAGAATTTGATGCTATGGTTGCAAATTTGGTAGCTGATAGCAATCAGGCTACTCTTCAAGAAGCTCAGATATTGCTTCACAAACATGAGATGAGACTGGAAAAACAGAACCATGCTCTGTCCAGTTTCCATGAACATATGGCTTCAGCATTACTTGCGTCTAAGCAAGGTTCTACTGTGTCCAATACTGGAGCATCTCAGCTTCAAGCTTCTAGTACACAAGAGACATCTTTTCTCACTCCTCAGTTATCGCCAATACAGACAGGATTGATTCCATATCAGAATCAAAAACCATATGTTTAGTATCCTTCTAATGCTACTGCATTCAATCCTATGTCTTCTCACCCTGGCTCTCCTCAGTTTGTCTCCTCTAGATTGATGCATTTTCCTAACAATGGGATGAGAGGCAGAGGTAGAGGCGAGGATATGTCAAGCCACGTTTGGTATGTCAAGCCACGTTTGGTATGTCAAGTTTGTGGCAAAACAGGACACTCGGCTGTTCAATGTTACCATCGCTTTGATCATAACTACCAGGGTTTCACGACTCAGAATTATACTCTAACCCCTG